CCCATTCTTGCTTTTCGTTAAAACTTRTCTTCTTGGGTTAGGGAAAAGATGCAGTGGATGAGAATACAACATTTATAGCTTACAAGTCTACCATAGTTTTACCTTGCAGGATTAAGGGAGTACAGCAATGCTATACTAACTTGAACAGAAACMACTTCCCCTTTTGTTTCATTTGATGTAACACTACTCTTTAGCTTTTAGGTGTATTTAATCCCAAAACTCAAATTATACAATGAAAAAAAMCCAAAAACCTGATTTTAGAAACTTTCTAATATTTCTTTCTGACATTAGGGAATTAAAAAAAAAAGAAGTTAAATTTTTAAACAGTTCTAAACGGACAAAATAATCAAAACATGTTTACTGTTTAAAATTAAAAAAACAGGCCTTTTTTCAGTTCTAACAAACTATTAAGTCTTTTTGGGTTCACATTATAATTATGGCTTGYCTCTCTTGTTCCCAATACCCCTGTACCATGCAGGCTACTCTTTTACAGGTTTGCATCAAATTATTTTTGTCTTATGTCCAAACTTGAGGAAACTGTGGGRGAAATTGTGCATAAGGTCTTTGAGTACAAGGTATTGGGAGATTTGGTTACAGGTCACAAGAGCTCAGAATAAGCATGTCTTCTACAGTGACCTTTGTATTTGAAAGAACACYGGGAGATTAAATCTCCCCGTCTCCTAACTACTCCAGTATGGGTGGAGTAGTTTTTTGTTTTGGTTAGAATGGTGAGTRTTTGTTGTTTGATTTGTTTGTTTGTTTTGATGGGGTATTCTGTTTGGGGGTTTTATTTATTTGTTTTTAATCCTTTTATGTTCCTTTATGTCATTTCCTCTAAACCTACTAAAGATTTTAAGAAATGAAGGGAATTCAAGGGCAGATGATGAAAGTGATTAGAGGCTTAGAAAGACACGCATATGAGTAGGGATTATTAAAAAGTCTGCCTCACTTATAGACAAGATGAATGAAAGGGATCATAAGAGAGCCATAGGAAATGAGAAGAGACATTCTGCAGAATTCAGCAGAGAGCAAGTGAATTTTTGTATTCTTTTTTAATGTAAGCCCTTTGTATATATGATCATGTAAGAATGAAATAATAATTAAAAAAAAAAAACTAATTCTGCTGCTAATCTCACTAAGGCTGAAAGAATGAGACAACTGAAATTAGCCTTCTCTTTGTTTAGAAACATATCACACCTGTTCCATGTAAGGTTTTTGTGCTTGCTTTTTAAATAAAAGAAGGATTCTTGCAATTTTAAGTATGTTTTCCACTAATAAATAGAAAATTCTGAATAGGCTCCAGTGTGCAAGGAATCAGTTGGGACTTCCTGCGTCTCTGTCTAATGCATCTGGTACTTGTTAAAAGCAAGAAGACTTCTGCATGGACTTCTGATGGGATACAGTAAAGGAATTCATGTGTTTTTTTGTTGTACTGGAAAAGGATTCTTCTCCTACAAAGCCATACATATAAATTTATAGTCCTGATGAAASACAGAATTTTCTTGTTCAGTAATAGGTAAGAGATCAAGAGGGAAAAGCAATGTCCTGATAAACAGATTAAAAAAAATAAGCTTTAATAGACCCTTATAGAGCCTTGAAATACAGTCCTGACACAGTGCTCTTGAAGCAGAAGTCAACACAGTGAGGCACGAGTTAGCATAGCCATGCTAGTTTGAATATCTGGAGTGTTAACTACTGCAATTGCATAGACCTCTGCATGGACTTACTGATCAAGAAATRCCTTGTAGCCAGAATCTGAACAGCCTAGGCTTCCACAATACTTATTGCAAAAACAAGTCCCTTAAGAAAGCACTATGACACTTTTTTAACAATCCTGAAAGCTACATTCCAGCAACAGCAGTTCATGGTTCCTGAACTAAAATTGCAACTCCTGCTCCCAAATCTTGTCCTACTTCATATCTTAGTACCTGATTTTGAATGTTTTTCAAATATTTGTATTTGTATTTGAAGTAATGTAGGAATCAGCTAGTGGGTGTTAAGCACAGTGAAGCTCAGCAACTGGCATTAATGGAGAGGACTGGAAACATTTTGCATGGTTCCATTGTCCGCAGATTCCACCTGCGTCACCAGAGCGAGCTGCAGTAATCCAGATTATACTCACTGACCAGATACTATTGGCAAGGAGAGGCAGGAAAAATCTCATGGAAGGGCAACCTTCTGAAAGCTGAAGATGGATGATTTTCCAGAACTAAGGCAACCACATGGCTATAAATCTATACACACCACATAAAAGCAGAACTGTAAGGCACTAATTCCATTACACTTCAAGCAATAGTGGTTTTATGACCCACTAGGTACTGCCATGCATGGCATAGCTGGACTCTCTTGTGATTCATCCAAGGAAGAGAACATCCAAGGAAGAGAGAACAGCCTCTGCCTCAAAATATTTGGCCTTCAGCAGCAGCAATGACTCTCCTAAATTAAGAATGACTCAACTGTACTTCAACAAAGTATTTTCTCTCTTTCAGCCACTGGGAACTTCACACAAAATGTGACATATGGAGAGTTATTAGCAGAATCCAGGATATCTCATACTTCAAATGGCCTCAAAGATGAAGGTATTGAACAGACCTRTTGCTATACACTGAAAAGACTTTTGTTGCAGCAAAATGTTTAAATCCATTTCCCCTCAGACTCTACTGTTTACAAACTCAGAAGGCTATATTCACAGTAAATTGTTCTAGAACTTCTACAAACTGAATTWAATGACGCCTTCCTACAGTATATAAAACAGCAATTTTGGAACTGTTGTTTTTCCAGTCCACAGAGAAGGTATCCCTTTCTCATAAAAAACATCCTTAGCTGGGCTTGAAAGACAGATGTAGGAATGTATAGGGTGGAGAAGTCCTTTAAAACCCATCCATCYGAAAACTGGACTCGGTAGCCTATGTTATACAGACTATAAGATCTGGCTTCTGCTTTGACTTTGTTAAAAGGGTACTTACAACATGTCCTATCCTGCAAACAATCCAGCTTCAAAGCATTCTTCACTCAGCAAGTCTCCCGAGTCTGCTCTAGTCTGTTCAGGATTTCAAGAACCAACCTCCCCCCCAGTTCTGTATTGTTTGTGTGCATGTACTGCATTGTTCTTTTTCATGTTTGGAAATGGCAGCTTTAACTTCAGCTACTCTGGTGATTTTTAATCAGTCTCTAAACAAAAAATAGCATTTTACTTTCTTGTTTTTTTCTGCATAATACCACCAGTTCTTGCTGCTTCTTGTGCATGAGAATTTCTACCCCAATGGTTAAGGCAGTGAGAGAAATGTTGAAGTTATCCAGGCAATTTACCCAGGAAAAATTCCAATTTGTTTGGACTAAGCCTTACCATCATCTGGAATATACAACATGCTGCTACCACCCCAAGGAATTATCTTACAAGTGATATCTGACCAACTTGTAAAGCCCAAACCCTGGAGCATCACAATTACATACAATTMTAAACTTGTACAGAGTTGTATTTCTAGTTCTCATGGTCACAGGAAGGGATGGAGACACTAATTCATATTAAAAGAAATCCAGAATCTGACAGAAGACCAATGCTTTTATAAAATTGCCTTAAGCATGAGATTTAAAACAAAAAATTCAATACACAAGTACAATAAGTAACACAGCATTAGACATGATGCTTTATGCTTTTAAGCAAATCAACTAGACCACAGAGTAGAGTTTAACCTTTAAATACACCCAAAATTATGAAAATATATAACTTTTCTCCATGGCCACACTTAGCTAAGCAGTACATTACTCTAACAGCAAAATTAATGAAGACAAAACTAATCAGTCCAATTTTCAACAGAGAAAAMCAAAAGAAATGCATAACATATTTATCTCCATTATGACTAGCCTRTATAGCGTGAAGAGTATTGTAGACTCCAGTAGTAACACTACAGTACGTAGGGTTACCTATTTTTAAAATGATTCGTTATTCTGAAGCAGTCTGAATCACAACATCTCCTTTCCACCACTGTCAATTGATGGGCTGGAGGGATGGAAAATACTGCTAATGCGCAGTACAGAAAAATGAAACCCCCAAACTCCAAAACCTTTACCCCAGTCACACCCTAGAAAAGATCTTCCCTCACAAATAGTTGATGCATACACTTCAAACCATAAAGCTCATCTGTTGTTAGATGCAAGATCTCAGCACAGAAAAAAGCATTTCTGCTGATATCCCAAGTTAGCTAGAGCAACCTCTTTTTTCCTTTCTTGCAGCTCATGGGAAGAAAGGGCCACTTTTGTACATGTCTTTGAGCTGAGCATTTAGGTAAGAATTTTAAACTAGAAAGCCAAGTGCTTTCATCAACATAACGCTTACCATAAAAGCCTTAAATACATGAAAGGATCACAAACTTTGCCTATACATGTTTATGTTTACATATATCGTATGAGCAATACATCACACTGAAGAAAGATAAACTTGTCAGGAGAGTATAAGAAAAACTATTCTATAAAACCATACATAATGGATATATACTATATTCTTACTTTGTCCCTAGAACACACGGGCACTTTTTCTGYCAAGTTCCATTCCTCCCATAGTCCTCTTATAACTTCAGAGAAGGAACCATAATAATTCTCTGCTGCCAATCACCTGCTCCAGAGTTTATTCAACAAACCTTGAGATACAAGCCAAAACTCCACTATTCACAACGTGATCRARACACGGTCATTGCATTAAATCATCAGCATTGTTATCTGGTGAGTAGTTCTCTATTACACTCGTATCCCTCTAGTTTCGATTGTAGATACACCTTGAACATTGGTTTCCACTAAGTCAATATCCAGTTTCATTTCACTTTCCTATACCAAAAGGCGTTTAGAAAGAAGCACGTAGGAAAAAACCTTCCCTTTAGATTGTCAGCCTAGCAAACGTGGAKACCCCGTGCTGCAGGTTGGCGGCTGGCTCTCAGAGCTCCCAAATCCAGCGGGCAGCCCCAGCACCGTCGCCTCCCCGGGCTGCCGGCTCTCCCATGTCTTACCCTCATCTTGCGGCGCCGGTGCCGCTCCGGRTCCGAGTACGTCCTGTCCACGGCGAGCGCCGTGTCGCTGCCCGGCATGCTTGCGTTTGTGCTTGTCCTGCTACTCACTGCCCAGAGCCGCCCAAGCACCAGCCCCGGAGCCGCGGGACGGAGGGCAAGCGGGATCGCGGCCGCCGCCGAGCGGGAGCGCCGGGCACGCCCCGCCCGCACGGCCCCGCCCGCAGCGCCGCCGCTCCGCTGCTCCCCAGC